AAGATATTTACATTAGGTTAGTATATATTTCAAAGTAGTAGTTATACTAAGCAATTCGTTACCATGATCTGATTGTCACAATCAACAAATGGCTAATAGGGAACAAAGATTTCATTCATTTATTATAAAAAAAGCAAACGCTAGTAGACTACTGCAATACATATACTATTACATCAATTTTAAGATTAAAATATCATCTAAAAGTGTGTGAATTCAGATCTGTAAGGAATTAATTCAGGTACTGTGAACTAGACGAGTTTATCATTCCACACAGTTGAGTTAGACAAAATATAGACAAGATTGTTGCAAGATGCTTCACTAGTACTCTTGTCAGTACTACTATAATGTTGGTGTTAATGATGATGATGATAATAATAATAATAATAGTAGTCAAATAATTATTACGCCTATTTGTGAGGAAACAATTTTCCCCATTGAGCAGAGGAAAGCCAGGTGTTAACGAATTAGCATAGTAAAGCATACAAATGGTTAAATTTATTTCTCCTAGCAAAATAATAATTCAAAAAGACAAGTCGTTTATTTATCACTGATAAATGAATATACAACAAAATCGCGAAAGTTTATTATCACCTATGCACATCTGACTGGATAGCACAAACAAATAATCAAATAACACACCATGTGATCTAAAGTACCATATATCATGAATTTTTAAAAATCATTAGTTATTATTCTTAACTTCCTTTAAAACAAAGGATAAATAAGGGGGAGAACAACTTCTGTTGCTATTTTATTCTTTTGAAGGAAAAAGTAAAGTTACAAACCAATAAATCGAGGAAGTATTTTGGATAATGTCAAGGTTTTAGTTTCAGTCATTCATTAGTCAATCTAAATAAGCATAGTCAAAAGTGTTTGATGCTTCACTATCGTTTAGTCATTTAGATGTTGGGTTTATAGGGAATTAATTTATTTTATTTATTTGTATAACGAAGAAAGCATTGAGTTATATTTCAATGGTCTGCGACGCCCAACTTCTGTCGACTCATCGCACAGTGCAACTACCACTCAACGGCATCCGAGAGCAACCGTCATTACACCTACACAGCTGGACAACACATTACAGTGATTTAGTTAATCTTATTTCGATTAGTTATCTGCAAAGAATGACCCCTTTAAAAGCAAATTCATAATAATTCAATGACCAATTTATACATTAAACAAAATGATTGTAACTATTTTTCTTAAAATATTCTTTCGACTAGCCTGTAACCAACATAACATTGTAACGACAGAATACAAGGGCCAGGCAACAGATCGTTTATTGAGGAAATCAAGAGATATTTATATATTTTTATTTACATTATTATTCGTTATTATTAGCAGAGAAACAGTGTCTTCTGATTGGTTGTTTTCTCGCTGAAAGTTAATCTATCATCTCTTTGTAGGCATTTCTTTGAAGGTCAGACTACATATCTGCGAATCGTATCCGTCCACGCAAAGTCTTTGTTCTTGTTTTTTTTCTCATGACCAAGATTTGGGACGTAAACACTGACGTAAATTGCTGTCTCCCAATTTTGGCTAGCAGACAGCTCTCACAACAACATAACTTCAAACGAATATCTTGAAACTGGGGATAAATGACAATTATTTTAGGGTAATTATGTAAGTACTAATATCTATTCTCCATATAGACTTAAGATTTTCCATTCAGGAATAAAAACAATTCTCAAGCATAATTTTTCACTAATTTCAGGTCACATAAGTGTAGCTAGAAAAGCAATCACTTTTTTGAGCACTGAACATATATTCACACACACTTCATTTAATATCAAAAAGTAACTCGTTGCTAGGCAACAAGATCATAAAAATATTGACCGCTAGGTGTGTTAACTGGTTAATTATCTAATACACAAATTCATTTTGGTAGAATACGTGAATTATCATTTGTGTTTGCAACAAAATGATGATTTAATCAATTTGTAATCCATGACAGTAAGATGGAAAAGTAATAAATTACACAAGAGACTGGAGAAATAAACACATTAATTTGTCCTGAAGTAGTTTACTGGAATCTAATGACACATTCTTAATCTTCCCAATCAGTACAACACCGACAGCACCAAGTAAGTATTTTAGGCTGATTAGTGCACTAGACTTAAACCCAGTGTCTTGTGATTCCGTATTTAGCAGTTTCTTCGGGATAACGGTCAGAACTCAAGTTCAAATGTGGATATTAAAATATTGACAGCAGCAATAATTTTCCTCAGGGTACTAATGTCTGTCACAAAATATGAAGCCTTTGAGTGAGATTTTTTAACAATTACTTGTATATATTCAGTGTTAAATCCTTGACTGTGGTTCATTGTAGAATTTTGCACAAAAGTGCAGTTTTGAAATCTGTAACACTCCATAAATGACAAAAAGGCACAGAGAAAAACTCAAAGGAATTATAATGAACGGAAACCTATGGGGAAAAGAACAAATAGGCACAGGATCATGAAAACTGAGAGGATTTAGAAGTTCATAAAGAGTGAATGCATCTGGGTCGCTGTGAGCGATATTGAACCATATCAACAACAGTCTCTAGTCACTGGTTCTCAGCGTCTGAAAGACCCCAGTCAAGCAGACTACATCGCCAGCAGTCAAATTGATGCCATGGTTTGACAGCCGCTAGCTAACATTGTTCGACGGGGAAGGTGGTAAACTGGCATGCGTAACACGTGTCCTAGCCATCTCAATGGGTGCAGCTTCACAAACTCATCGATTGACTTACCCTCCTGACCTAACACTCTATGCATAACTTTAACATTACTCACCATATTATACCACGGGAGATTATTGAATGTATAGACATAATTAACAGGTTTTATCGAGAATTAGCTATTGAACAATCCAATAAGTCATAACAATGCTTTAGGAAAGACAAGGGTTAAATCCAGACATTAAAATGATGGTCGATTCATGAACCGAAAGTTATATGATATGGTTGAGTCTTCGACCTACTGAAATCATTGAATAATTGCAGTTAGGCTACGACTATGCTTAAATTGTACATTCCGTTGACTTGTTATCACAGAAAATAATACCATTAGATCAAGTGGTCACTTAATTATACGAACTAAGGTACTTACTATACGTGTGTAAATAGACAAGTATGGTACACTTTTACAACTTTCCAATTATTAATTATAAGCACCAATCAGATCAAAAGTTTTTCTACAGACTACCTGAAATCATCTTCGTTCAGCAGACTGATACAGAAAATAAGGACTGTCTAAATTTTGGCAACAACAGATGAACATCTAAACGTACCGAAAGAATTCACTTTACATTTAGTTGCAGAGAAAGTCTTATTTAATCTTAGTACTTAATCTTATTTTTTGAAACGATGAAATTTTGAAAACTCAGGTTATTGTCCTTTTCAAACCTAGCACCAACATGGATTATAATTGTTGTAGTAACAGGAACTAACAAAAAGAATGAGTTTAAATTACACGACTGGGACTATAAACTATTATTTACTGATAATTACAAAGACAGATATTCACAGTTCGACTCTTTTCTAAACATGACTGTACTGTTTTTGTAATTTGTTCCGTTGAATCTAAAAAGTGTAGTTAAGGACACTGATTTTAATTTCTACTTCCCTTGCTTTAAATCACTGTTACATACTACATATTTTTCAATAACCAGGGGAAAAAATTATTTTGTTAAACTTCCACTATAGGATACGGAATTTCAGGCAGACCAGCCAACGATTCAATAGTTACAGAATAAATTATTTACTATTAGAGGCGAAGTGCCTGCTGGTGATATTTTCCGAGTACCTCTGAAGTACAGACCCTACAACTAAAACTAACAAAATGGAGATGAACAGCACTCAAGATGGTGAGGAAAATGGAACTCACAGAAGCATCAGCTCGACAGTAATCACGGAAGGTAATCGTGAAATACATTAGTCATTGTATGCTGAAAAAGCTAACTGGCAACAAATTAGTTTCCCATTTGTGATCATCCTATAAAAGAAGCTAAGCGACCAATTAATTTTATAAAATATGTACATTCATAACTACAGTTTGTTAGAGAGCTACACGGCGATACTGGGCCGTATGTTTCAAAACAGTTTATCTGTTCGAATATTTAGCCTTACGTTTAAGAGAAATATTAGTAAAAATGTTTAAAAATTAAAGTCCTCTCCAAAAATGAAAGTTATGCAAATTAGAAACAAGCGTTCTCCTTATTTTTAGTTTCTAATATCATATTACACAATTCAGCATTTGGTTTAAGATATCTTCTACGTGTTATTAGACATATTTTGCCAGTCAGTATTCTGCATAGTGTAAAAGTTCGTATAGAGGGTAAAACTAAACAAAACCAAATCATGAATTACTTGTATGACGGTAGAAAACAAGAGATTTGGTAACGGAAATTAATGTACACCTCATACGAAAATAATCATTTGCACAGAGCTTCCATGCGTTTCTTCTTCTTCTTTCCGTGCCTCTCATGTTTTGCCGCAATATGGATTCATTTCCTCTTTCTCGATGATGTCAAATCTATCTCTCCCTATTTGATATTTTTGTGTTGATGAACGTGTCTTCATATTACCACTGATAGATCGTGTCAGTACAACACGCCACACTTGCTGTAATGTTACACCTAACTGTTAAATTCCAAAAATTATCGGGTTAATTAGACTTTTCTGGTTTCAAATTGATGAGTTTCGGTATTCGACAATGACGACTTGCACATTCCACTTCCAATAATTTTTTAAACAAGCATTTCTTAGTTAAAAACCAAAATTATCCTTAAACATATAACATCTATATTGAGTTGGTTATGAGAAATCGTGGAATGACAGTTTGATTCTCTTATCTTTCCTAGACACTCAGGCAAACAAATACACATACTACTGGACAGTAGTCTGAGTTGCTACACCTCACAAGAAGTTTGTCATCTATTCGCAATTCAATATGTTAAACAAGACGAATATATGAGGGAAAGAAATGAGCAAAGATTTCAATTTACAGACAACTTACTGATCAGTTATATAAGATACTTTCAAACTGCCAACGCAACATTACATCCAATAACGTAATTGTGTATACACAAAAAGACAATATACTGCATCGCATAGCATACTGAAAACATATAGTTCTTAACATTTACGTCTATCACCCAGGTTTTCCTCTTTCGCTCTGCCTTTCCCATCACATAAAAAAGCATTGAAAATACCTGTAGTTTGGGCCAGCTATAATTTTTCAGCCAGATTAACAAGTGTAAATTTGATTGTTAAAACAACACCATAGAAATGGCTTTTATTTTTTTTAAACTGGGATCTTTAGCAAACAATAAAGCAATGTAACATTAAATATTTTTGTTAAAGACTTATAGAAATACTGTATTTCTTGTTAATGACAATAAACAAAAAATAATGTTTTAAAATTAGAACCATGATTTTTTGGGCAGGGAAACATATTGGATTTCCACTGGCAGGTGATATGAATTTAAATATCAAGCTAAATATAACACAAATAGTTCAACAGATTTATGATGTTTATTCACGTCATTTAAGAAGATTGCCTACACATATATTTTTTTCTACTATGATATACAGACTGATACGTGTTCATTGACTACCCCAAGATATATCAAAAAACCTATACTTTAAAAGTAGTTAGTGAGGAACGCTTTGAAGAAATACTTCGCGCATAATTGTTACTTTTCACATTTCAATTTCTCTGATGCGTTTGGTTTGAATGATGCCGATCCTTTATTTAACATTATCACACATGTATTTATGAAGGTCTTCCTCTTAATAAGATTTAACCTTGTGCTAGGAAATCTCTTAACTTAAAATTACACAAACAACACACCATTAACATGTTGAAACATTTTTTTTGGGGGGGGAGGGTCAGTTCCTGCATCAAAAATCATCTGTAACATAATAGGTTATGAAACAGTTCAATAAACTGACTAATTTATTTATCTAGTAACTTCATCACTCCTGATAAACGGACACACTATGCTCGGTGTGCTTACACCAGCTTATGCCATTTATGATGTTGTTGAAAGTTTAGCATACTGATCCACTGCCACATCTTTGTATCTTACGGCTATAACAGCTTTATATAGTATTGATCTTACTTCCCTTTCTTTCCACTTTTCATCTCCTACCTTGATGAGATGCGATTACTGGGATTAATAATGGATATATCCCCGACAAAGGTTACAGTTGTCATTAGTTTGTTTCATGTCCATATGCTACTGAATATGTCTAACAAGAGATTCATCATTGTATATTACCATTATGAAAGAAAAAATGTGGTAGAGAAGATCATTGTGACAGAACGCTACTGTGCTTACACTGCACACTGGCCAATAGCGTGCAAAGCAATCCTGACCCGTCTTGTAGTTCTAAAAACAATCTACCATCTAACTAAGTGAAAATAAAGTAAATGAAGTGCGTGTGTACCATATATATATATATATATATATATATATATATATAATGTGTGCATGCAGAAATTGCCTGATTAGTCATACGATCAATAGTGGAATGAATAAAACAGTCTGAACACTAGATCATCTCACTCTATAGTAAAACTGGGTTCGTCTACAGACCATTTCTAATTAGTGTCAAACATATATTACACAGTGGGATTTTGCCTGGACTACGAACAAATCACTCAACTAATCAAGATTTGATTAATAGCTACAACTTGTAGTTCGTCTGGTAGATTGCTAACTCTGAGGCTGCTGGATCTAATCTTGTAGCGACACACGTTTTCGTCTCAACTTAACGCAAGGCCTCATTACGAATAAGTATATTAATGCTACTTCTCTTTATAATAAACTATCTAACTATTTCCACAGCTTCTTGTGTTGCTTCTAATTGTAGGATTTGATTTGTTTTATTTATCTATTTATTAAAATGTGCAAAAAGACACTCAACATGATAAATAATTTCTTTTCCTAAAAGCAGGTTACAGCAAATTGTGCAGCATATTCTTAAGATATAAACTGATTTAGGCTAAACAATGATTATTGTCTTACTGTTAATAATTATTATTTTCATAAATAAAAATGCATTGTTACCATTATTTTCCATAAAGTGAATTACATTACAGGTGCATATATATATATATATATATATATATATATATATTGTTGACACTTGCTGTTAAAAGAAATCACACTGAGGCGGCCTCACAAGCAGACACACAATCAGAGGTGAACATACAAGTAGTACAGCTGTTAGTCTTTATAACATCATATACTGACAACAAGACGACAAAACTTAAAACTTAACCTTAAAATAATGATGAGATAGTGTTTCATCTTTTGTTTTTTAATTACTATTGTGGCAGCTTAAGTACAGCACTTAAGATACAAAATACTTTGTGAGCAATAATATGGTGAAGGCATTCCATAGTCAGTGAATTCTAAATAAGAAACTAGTTATTTACCGGTTTACTTTAAAGATAAACAATAAACACAGATAAATATTGAATTAGATTAAAAGAAATTGAATCAAAGGTATCAGTTAAACATTTTGACAGACACTTCTTAGTGTTAACAGATTATAACAGCTCATTTAGATTATAAGAACACAACTAAGAGCAGAACTATCGTGTGAAATGATTTGAAATTCCTTTTTTGGGGAAAAGCAGTTGGACATTCTTAAAATAGGCTTTATTAGAGATAAGTTTGTGTGGTCAACACGCGTCGGTGGCACAGTGGTTAGGACTCTCGCCGACCATGCACATGGTCCGGGGTTCGATCCCCTGCCGGCGCACACCCGATATCTATGGTCGGCCTGAATTTGGGCTACCGATATCCATGCTGAAAATTCCATACTTGTACTGAAAAGTACGGTGTGGAATCAAGCTGTAAATCAAAATAAATAAAATAAAAATGTTTAAGCGAATACGTTACAAGTGAATGGGAGATAGGAAGGTCGAGGACAGTAGTAAACAAACATTGAAAAGACTCATCAAACGACCCATTTATGTCTACGGAAACCCGAGAAAAGTCAAGTCAGAATATAATAACCCATAGCATCAAAATAAAATTCGGAAAAATAGTAGAGTATAGCACTGAGGATGGTATAATGTAGTGAAGAACAGGAAATTGCGGTTTCAGACAAATAACAAGATATGACTTGTCGCATAAACACTGATCTTTAAAGCACAGTAGTCTAAAAGATAACTGTTTGGCGTGCGAAACAAAGCACGCTAGATTTCAGCTTTCATTCAAACAACATCACTTAGTGGGGGGCAAGTACATTCAGTTAATAGGTCTCGAGTAGTACGGAGTGCCCATCAAAATAAAATTCGAGGCAATATGCAAACATCTCACGGGAGCTTATTTGCTAACCAATATTAGCCAGTGTGGTTTAGTAAGGTTAACAACGAGAGATTGCAAATATAATTACACGGGCAAGTAATTCACAAATGGTATTCATGATACACCATTTCTAACAAATAAATATGGCGAAGAAATGAAAACAACTCTGTTCAGTGAAGAAGTAATACAATATTTGAATACATCATCACATGAGAAATATTTGCACAAATATTCAAAATTTAAAAGTACAATCACATTCCAGACAGTAGATTAACTCAATAACACAAAAAGCAAAGTTAGTACTCAATAAAACCAACTGTCCTGAATAATGGATCATGAGACTATTATTAACACACTGCATTTCTTATGAAATATACATAAATAGACAGTAAGTTAATGGATTAGTAAACCTCAATTTAGTCTTACATTTCAAACCAACAACGCAATCCACATTTGCATTTCTTTCTTTCTTTTTTTATTTTGATTACAGCTTGATGCTACACCGTTTTTTCAGTACAAGTATGGAATTTTCAGCATGGATATCGGTAGCCCAAATTTTGCAGGCCGACCGTAGATATCGGGTGTGCGTCGGCAGGGGATCGAACCCCGGACCATGTGCATGGTTGGCGAGAGTCCTAACCACTGTGCCACCGACGCACACTGTGAAATGATTTATCGTGCCACGTTAAATACAAAACATTAAACTTTCGTCTCGCTTAATGTTTAAACACGTCTAACTTCATAGAAAGGTAATAAGTAGTCGAACTTTAGACAATGGAAGACGTTTTAAGTAAACTTGTGAAGAATCCCACACTACAAAGTTGCTACGTGCTTTGCAACAGAATAGAAATAAAACAAATACATGAATGGAAAATCATTAAGAATATTAATCAGAAAATGTGAGAGAATGAATAAATACGTGGAAACAAGATAGTTGTGACGCTGCAATGCAAATTGGTAAGAGTAGAAAATCATAGGCTGGTAGATCCTAACCCGAAGCTTTCTTCACTATCTGATGAGCCTACACCCTTCACTATTATTATTGCTGGAGAGTTCTAAACCTGGAAGTAACACCTATCCAGTACCTTTCGATTTTGAATGACTTTCTAGACTTCGATTCACGAAGAAATCTATCTTGAAATCAATTAAATTCTTATAATCCTAGCATGTTAACTAAATGAGTTGATGAAAAAGATATTTAGAATTCTAATGATTAAAAATTGATGCATCTATATGACTATGATCACTTTTTCAGTCATATTCCTATATGTCCTACTAACGAGAAGAGAGGATAGTCCCATCAAAAGAACCATATTTAGAGAGCTAAAGACCAAAGCTTAGTATACACATTTCCTTAGCTTCATACCGATGAAATGAAAACGTAATCTGATCAGGTGCTTAGCATTTAGAGTGAGGTTCATTTGTCCCGAAGATTGTGTAGACAAAGAACTCAAGGTCATCCGGCATATTCTAAGCGAGAACGGATATCCAGAGAAGTTCATTAAAGCCGACATAGGTCACAATAATCCTAAACATTAACTGGCAATGGTGGAGAAAAAGCCTTTATTTTTAAGTCTACAATTCAGGGAAGATACTCCTGCAGAGATTCTATGGCAACGCTTAACCAGAGCGATAAAGAAAACTTTCTACTCTGCACATCTGTTCCTATCCTTCAGTAGTCGTCCAATGTTCACCCAGCAACTGAAAGATGTCTTACCTAACCTTAGCTCTTCTTCACGCATTTAACATTTAAACTGTTCCTGTGGTTCAAGTTATACAGGGCATACGGTTAGGCAGGTTCGTCCACGGGTTCGAGAACATTTACCAGCTTGGTTCAACAAGGGAGAAATTCTAAGCATAAAAAGCTCAACTCTGTCCCACCTGGTCGATATTGGACATAGCATCGACGCCAACACAGCCTTCAGGGTTACACACGAAATTCCGAAGTCATTATCACGTGCAGTCAGCTTACGTCTCCTACACATAGCTG